GTGTTACCAAGTGCTTCAGTAACACGCAGCCCAGGGACATCTGCCTCCCTGCGAGGGAAACGTGGAAACGCCGGGCCAGGGTCATCCCTGCGGCAAACCCATGGAACGCGGCACGGCTGGCACCAGGAGCTACTTTAGCCCCGTCTCCAGGCTGGTGGGAGACGGGAAAGGGACCAGTTCTCTGCCAGGCATGGAGCTGAGCCGTGGTGCCGCCGCACGAGTCTCAGCTCGTCTCCTTGACGAAGGTTTGATTGGCTCGAGCTCCCTTTCCTCCTAACGATGGCTTTAACCCCTTAGGTGCCAGCTGTCACCGAGAGTTTGCGTTTCCTTGGTTTCCTGGCAGGTGATGCTACACGGGCAGAAGCCCTGGGGTTTACCTGGGCCAGCGAACATGCCTTGTCTCCACTAGGATGGCTATGAGTGTTCGCTTCACGCGGGTTACAAATACACCTTTTTTCCCTGGTGACAACACAGCCTCTAGGCAACTGTGGGAGCGCGGTAGGCAGCGGGGGTTCTGTTGATGTTGGGATCAACCCCTCATGTGTTGGCAGGTGTCGCGTAAATAACCCTGAGTACTGACAGCAGTAGGGACAGCCTGGCCAATGGCATTTGGGGACTGGGTGGAAGGTACAGACTTGGAAGATCTGCAGTGGCCCCCCTGGGGAAATGCCACATTCTCCACTAGAGCCGCGTCCTTTATCTCTGCTGGCTGAGCGGGCGGGGCTAGCGCAGGATGGTCCTGCCCCAGCCCTAGCTCCCCCGGCTGGCTGCCCCCCAACAGAGCAGCGGGAAGCGCTCAGAGTGAAAACTAGGATGGATTGTGCCCGGATCTAACTGGACATGCTGGGGGGTTAAATCGTGTGGCGGCAGGGCTACACGTCCCCGGACCACCCCCAGGAGGACACAGAGAGGACACGTTCAGTGAACAGGCTGCTCTGAGCCCTGTGGCCTCTTTGGGGTCCAGAGCAGAGATCCCCAGCCTGTCTTCATCCCAAGGCCTCCCCATGCAGCCGCTCACGGAAGTGCTCCTCCGATGAGGCCCCCAGCCCTTTGCCTGCTCTGGTGGTGCCTGAAAAGAGTCTCAAAAAGGGCCCAGTGGTTGGGGGGGTAACTCTGGGAGCCCAGTCCTATGATGGGCACCCTCCTCTTTCCGGTGTGGTCTGTGGTATCTCTAAGCCACCTCTGGTACTATCCAAGAGCCAAGTTGGAGGCCTCAGCTGGAGGACTGTGTCCAGTTTGTAGGCCTCACTTCTTAGGCCTGAGATCTTAGGCCTCAGTTGGAGTATTGTGTCCAGTTCTGGGCCCCACATTTCAAGAAGGATGTGGAGAAATTATGTGGACAAATTGGGGAAGGTACAAAGAAGAACAACAAAAATGATGAAAGGTCTATGAAGGAAGACAGAAAGAATTGGGTCTGTTTAGCCTAGAAAGGAGAAGACCAAGAGAGGACATGAGAGCAGCTTTCAAGTACCTAACAACATGTTACAAGGAGGAGAGAGACAAATTGTTCTCCTTCACCTCTGAGGACAGGACAAGAAGCAATGGGCTTAAATAGCAGCAAGGGAAGTTTAGATTGGACATTAGGAAAAACTTCCTACCTGTCAGGATGTCTAAACACTGGAATAAGTTGCCTAGGGAGGTTGTGGGATCTCCATCCCTGGAGATATTTAAGAGCAGGTTGGACAGACACTTGTCAGGCAATACTGCCAGGAGGGCAGGGGACTGGAGTGGACTTGATGACCTCTTGGGGTCCCTTCCAGTACTAGTGTTCTGTGATTCTGTGATAAGTTGGGGGGCCTGGTGTCTGACGAGGACACGTTCCAAAGGCTGCACAGATCTGCTGTGGCCAGGGACCAAGGCTGGAAATAGAGTCGCAGCTCCCTGGAGTCGAGTCAGAGGCTGGGAGCTGCTGCTGACGAGAGACGGCCGTGGCCCTGGCCGGGGGCGTGGCATACGTGGCCACTGGGTGCCTGTGCTCTCTCTTTCAGGAGCGGAAGCTGTGTGCCCATCCCAGGATGGAGATCTACAAAGGAGACCGCATCTATTTCATCTGCCCCCTGGCCCGCCAAGGGGACTTCTATGTGCCGGAAATGAAAGAGCTGGAGAGGAAGAGCAGAGCGGTGGAGGCAGAGGAGGCACAGACCGAGTGGCATACGTGGCCACTGGGTGCCTGTGCTCTCTCTTTCAGGAGCGGAAGCTGTGTGCCCATCCCAGGATGGAGATCTACAAAGGAGACCGCATCTATTTCATCTGCCCCCTGGCCCGCCAAGGGGACTTCTATGTGCCGGAAATGAAAGAGCTGGAGAGGAAGAGCAGAGCGGTGGAGGCAGAGGAGGCACAGACCGATGTCACAGGTACCCACAGAGCACACGCTTCCCCATTGAAGTCAGTCCTTCCAGGTGTCCCCAGACCCCTTGGAGGCCCTGCTGCCATGTGGACAAAGCAGCTAAAATGGAGGGGGGAGGCTGGTGATTTTGCTGCTTCCTTCATTGAGCAGCTGGAATTGACGCCTTTTGTGAAGGAACATCTGCAGCAGCTGGAATTGACACGTTCCGTAAAGGATCGACATCCGTTCAGTTCCAGCAGGGCCCAGAGCCTGTCACAATTACTCCTGATTTCTAACAAGCCTGTCTCTTCCATTGTAATACGTGTTGCTGTTGTCGTCCCCTTGGGCCCTGGGGTACACACCGCTTCGTTGTCAATGGAACAGTAAGCTAGTCTCCGTTGGGCTGATGGTGGTGTTGCTGTCCCTTTCAGTGGCGGTCCCCTTTTCTCATCACCTACCTCTCTCCTGAGCTCTTGAGCAGCCGTCGCTTTTGGAATCCTGCGCAATTTAAACCATTTTCCAAAGCCAGCGCAGGAATTCTCCAGCGGCCCCAGCTGAAGGCTTTGTAGCTAGCGAGGAAGCGATCGTCACCACGCCTGTCGGTGCATGACAGCCGTGTTGAGCTCCACTGTCACGGCCCTGCAGCTGTTAGAACGCAGGCTGCTACTTCCTCTTCCCACGTGCTCACGCTTTCGTGGAACCCAAACAGGTGACTCATCAGTGCTCTCAATAAGCATATATTAGGGGACTTATATTAGGTGACATAGTGTCTTGAGAAATACTGGGAAAGCAGTATTCAGGTCACAGATACATTTGTAATGTACACTGGGAACATGTGACACTGTCTCCGGCTATATGCCACATGCGTGACTTTGCCACAGTGGCAGCCTTCCAGTGGCTTTTTTGCACTTCTTTCATTTTGAGTTTCTTTCATTTGTAATCACGCACAGCCATAACCCCTCAAAATTCCCCCTTTGGCCTGAAATCTTTGTTCATTCAGCCATACAAGTGCCAAGACACTCCGGGAATATCTACACTAGGACATGATTTCAAAAGAACTTATTTTGAAATAGTAACTCCCGAAATAACTATTTTGAACTAGCACGTGCACACTACAGGGAAGCCTCGAAATGAGTCCGAGGCAGGCTCCCCTAATGTGGACGTTCTCTCTCGACTTAGAGCCCCAGGAAGCACTGGGGAGTAATTACTTTGAATGACTCTGGGGAGTCGTCGTTTTGAAATAGCAGCAATGGAGAGTCCACACTACTGCTTTTTTGCAATAACTTTTTTAAAATTAGCATTATTTCTCCTGGAAAGCAGCAGTTCTGATTTCAGAATAAGCAGCCCATTATTTCGAAATCGGGCGTTATTTTGAAATCACTCCCTAGTGTAGACCAGGGCTCAGAGTTTTGGGTTTTGGAAACACTCTCAAATATTTTGGAAACACTCTCAAATATCACCATTTTGGATAACTTTAGATTGGCTTGTCTGTGATCTGATCATGTGATGCAGTACTGTCACGTGCTGTTCAGACAACTGCAGTATTGTGTTGCACTCGATTGGCACTCCAATAGCTTTAGGTGCCCACGCACAGCATCGGACCGTTCAGATGTTTGCAAACAGACATGTTTTTGTGCACACGTAATGTGTGTACTTTGGTTACAGGTGTACGCTTTTGTCTGTCTGCTTTCAGAAATTGGGCTTGCATTAACGTGGTGAGAGCATGTGGAGAAACACTCTTAATTCATAGCTCCAAGGGGCAGAGTTAAGGTGTTCAGAGCCCAACCCTGGCTCAGAAGCAGCCTGGCTGGAGCAACCCCTCCCCACCCCCATTTAATTGGTTAAGCTTAACATGTAACTGGTTAACTAATTAAATGGGATTTTACATCCCTCTTCCCGAGAGATGGTTAAAACTTCAAGTGCTGGCTAGCGGCAGGGTGAGGGTGAAGTTTTTTTGCATAGACTTATAGACTTGGAAGGGACCTAGAGAGGTCATTAAGTCCAGTTGCCTCCAGTCATGGCAGGACCAAGCACCACCTAGACCATCCCTGACATGTGTTTGTCTAACCTGCTCTTGAATATCTCAAATGATAGAGATTCCACAACCTCCCTGGGCAATTTATTCCAGTGCTGAACCACCCCGGCAAGAAGGTTTTCCTAATGTCCAACCTAAACCTCCCTTGCTACAATTGAAGCCCATTGCTTCTTGTCCTATCCTCAGAGATTAAGGAGATTATTTTTTCTTCCTCCTTGTAACAGCCTTTGAGGTACCTGAAAGCTGTTATCATAGCCCCTCTCTGTCTTCTCCTTTCCAAACTAAACAAACCCAATTCTTTTAGTCTTCCCGCACGGGTCATGTTTTCTAGACCTTTCATCATTTTTGTTGCCTTCACTGGACTTTTTCCAATTTGTTCGCCTCTTGTCTGAAATGTGGCACCAAGAACTGGACACAATACTCCAGTTGAAGCCTAATCAGCACAGAATAGAGCGGAATAATTTTTTCTTGTGTCTTGCTCACAACGCTCCTTTTAATATATCCCAGAATCTTGTTTGCCTTTTTTTGCAACAGTGTCACACTGTTGATTCATTTAACTTGTGGTCCATCATGACCTCTCGATCCCTTTCTGCAATACTCCTTCCTAGGCCGTCATCCCCATTTTGTACGGCTGCAATTTCTTGTTCTGGAGTACTTTGCATTTGTCCTTATTGAATTTCATCCTGTTTACTTCAGACCATTTCTCCAGTTTGTCCAGATCATTTTGAATTTTGACCCTGTCCTCCAAAGCACTTGCAACCCTTCCCAGTTTGGAATCATTTGCAAACTTTAAAAGAGAACTCTGTCTGCCATTCTCTAAATCATTGATGAAGACATTGAACAGAACCGGACCCCTGCGGAGCCCCACTTGTTATGCCCTTCCAGCATGACTGTGAACCATTAATAACTATTCTCTGGGAACTCTTGAGTTATCCAAGCAGTTAGGCACCTACCTTATAATACCGTTTAGGTTGTAGTTCCCTAGTTTGTTTATAACAACGTCATGCAAGACCGTATCAAATGCCTTACTACAGTCTAGGTATACCACATCTACCGCTTCCCCCTTATCCACCGGGCTTGTTATCGTGTCAAAGAAAGCTGTCAGGTTGGTTTGACATGATTTGTTCGTGGCACATCCATGCTGATTCTTACTTATCACTTTATTATCTTCTAGATGTTTGCGAATGGATTCCTTGAAGGGATCCCCCCAGGCCCATTCATGGGGGAAGCCCAAACTACTGTTCCCGTGGTGGAGATGGAGTGTCCCAAGCTCTCAGTACAGCACCTCTCAGCAGCCTGACTGTTTAGAAAAAACTAAGCCCAAAGCACAGCAACGCTGCCCACCCGCCATTACCGTGGCATTCGGAGCCAGGGGGCGGGGCATCCCTGGCCCTCTCTGTCGTGTGCTCACAGCTGAGCTGCACTCGGGCCTGTGAGTCGGACAGAAAGATTTCCTTGTGCTTTCCATAGGCTGCGTCTTCCCTCCCTCCGCCGTTGTGCAGAGCAAATTCATCCCGAGTCGTGGACTCTTTAGCCCCGCCCCCCAGAGGGGTGGAGAGTGTAACGATCCACCAGCTCCCCATGTTTCTTCGTTCTCTTGACTTCCGCTCCAATGTCTCTGGCCGTACAGCTCCTGGGAGAAGGTCATGGTGGCTCAGTTCGGATCCACGGCTTTGTTTTCTCCATACTGATGACGGTTGGGCCAGCACCTCACCCCTCCGTTCTCTCTCCAGCTTCCCCCTTTTGCAAAGGTCTCTGTAGAGCGGCTTGTGCGGGAGGGACCTGCTGATGTTCTGTTCCCGGGAGACCTCACTTACTGGACCGGATTCTCAGCAGGGATCGATCCATTGAGCTACCGTGCATGTATCGCTTTATGCCGAGTTCCCCATGGGCGTTGTGTATGTAAACCAAAGGGGAGCAAGCTCTTTCCTTTGGGCCAATGCTGTGAGGTGCTGAGCATTGCCTGAGTGGTGTTTGGGCCCCGGCCACCACCTCTCAGGCAAATAAAATTTGAAGGGGCACCACACTGGGCAGGCTTGGACCCTGTCTCATCTCCTAGAATCACAGGATCCTAGAATCCCAGGGCTGGAAGAGACCTCAGGAGTCATCGAGTCCAGCCCCCTGTCCAAGGCAGGACCAACCCAACTCAATCAACCCAGCCAGGGCTTGCTCATGCCAGGACTTAAAAACCACTGGGGATGGAGACTCCACCCCCTCCCTAGGGAACCCAGCCCAGGGCTTCCCCACCCGCCTAGGGAAATCGTTTTTCCTAATGTCCAACCTAGACCTCCCCCGCTGCCGGTTGAGACCGTTGTTCCTCATTCTGCCATTCATCACTACTGAGAACAACAAATGGTCTGGTAGCACTTTATAGACTAACCAAACATGTAGATGGTGATATGAGCTTTCGTCGGCACAGCCCACTTCTTCAAATGACCGGAGTTTTGAGACACAATAAATAGGAAAGAAGGGGGGAGCGGGGAAAGGAGAGGGGGGAAAGAGGGAGCTAGAGGGAATCAGTAAGTATCTGAAGATTGGGTAGTTAAAACGAAGCAGATAAGAATCAAAGTCAAATGATAGTATCCTTCCTGAGTAGGAGTCTGCACAAAGAGCTGTTCGCACCTTCAGCGACTGTTAAATTGATAGTAGCCCCAACCACCCTTCATCACGATTGAGTCCATTAGCGTGTGAATTGAATTTGGAGATGAACTGTAATTCCAGCGTTTCTCTGTGTATCTGGCTAGTAGAACTGGTTTCTGACAAGACAGCTACTTGAAGAACAGCCTCTCTCCATCCTCTTTGGAAGCTCCCTTCAGGGAGTTGAAGGCGGCTCTCAAATCCCCCCTCACTCTTCTCTTCCGCAGACTAAATAAGCCCAAACCCCTCAGCCTCTCCTCATAGGTCATGTGCTCCAACCCCCTCATCATTTTCCTTGCCCTCCGCTGGACCCTCTCCAATGCGCCCACGTCCTTTCTGTAGTGGGAGCCCCAGAACTGGACGCAACACTCCAGATGTGGCCTCACCAGAGCTGAATAAAGGGGAATAATCACATCTCTGGATCTGCTGGCGATGCTCCTCCTACTGCACCCTAATATGCTTGGCTCCAAGGGTCACACTGTTGACTTCTATCCAGCTTCTCATCCACTGTATCCCCAGGTCTTTTTCTGCTCCCTTTCCTTCCTTTCCTCCTCTCATGCAGCTGCAATTCTCAGACCAGGTCACTTCTGGATCACAAGCTTGTCCTGTCCAATGCAATTAGCAGATGGCGAGATGTTAACAAAGCCGCTCCCAGGCCTTCGAACTGCACGGGGGCCAGACACGGCAAACTGCCATCCTCTTGAGTTCAGAGCGGCACTCCTACCTGCGCACGCCCTGCCCTGTGCGGTGCCTTTGGCCGCGCTCTTTGCAAACAGCTGTATTAAAATGCCCCCGTCTGTGTGAATGAATGATTGCCTTGTGACTGTGCCGCACAGCCGCTCCTGACTGTGGATGCGGACGGTGTCATTCAAAACCCAGCAGCCTGCGGCTGTGCCGTAAGGGCTCGGGGGTTTGAAGCCCCCCACTGCTCTGACCTTGGAAAACCCCACAGCTGGCTCTCACGGTGCCGAGGGCCTTCCACTCCAGCTGACGGGGCTGGAGGGCGCCCGAGAGCTCACTGCTAGTCCCTGGCAAAGGCTCTGCCACCTGTCTGAGACCCGATGTGCTCAGCACACAGGCTGAACATGCGCATGGGGTGGGCAGGAACAGGGGGGGGGGG